AAACCCTAAATCCCAAGCCCAAAGCCCTAAGCCCTAAACCCAAACCCTGAACCCTAAACCCTAAATCCCAAGCCCAAAGCCCTAAGCCCTAAACCCTAAACCCTGAACCCTAAATCCCAAGCCCTAAACCCCAAACCCCAAACACTAAACCCAAAGCCCTAAACCCTAAACCCCAAGCCCTAAACCCTAAACCCTGAACCCCAAGCCCTAAAGCTCCTCCTTTGGGGATCCGCCTGACAGATCCGGCCCTCAGAGCGGGCGACGTGACTGTCCCAGCCAGTGCCGAGGCTGTGGCACTTTGTCAGGAGACCCACATCCTCAAGCCTGCGCTGCTTAGGGTTTAGGGTTTAGGGTTTTGGGCTTCAGGAGTTTTTGAAGGTTTGGGTTTAGGGTTTAGGGCTTTGGGGATTTAAGGGTTTGTTGGGGTAGCTAGTCATTGGAAGTGCAGCCGGCTCTTGGGCTACCGGCTCTGTAAAGGGTTCTGAACTAGAAGGTTCTAAATTGGTTCTAGACTGATTGGTCCTTTGTGACTTGAACTTGTCTTGTCTTAGGGCTTTACGTGTTTGAGGGATTTGGCGAGTGGGGCTTTAGGGTTTGCCGGGTTTGGGGTCTGTTCTTAGGGGTCCTTTAAATGTCAGGTTCTGTTCCCTCCTCAGAGAATACCGTACGAAATTGAAACAAGGCTTTTAAGAACAGCCCGGAAGCTCCTGCACCGCTCGATACACAGGGTCGTAGCCGTAGTCATCGAAGACCAGGTACCTTAAGTGCGGGAGGTAGTGCAAAGAGTTGCGCGCGTCGGAGAGGACGCTCGCGTAGTCGTGGCTCGCATCGATAACGACCACGCTGACGTTGTTGCTGGCGAAGGCCCGCCAGTCGGCGGCCATGAGGTCCAAGGATAGCAGAAACACGTTTGGCAAGGCTGCGGTGTGCTTGGCAGCTACGTCCAAAGACGTCCTCAAGATGTCCACTGAAATCACCTTCCGAAAAATCGCAGCTAAGACGGCCGTGGTGTGACCCATGTGCACCCCGAGCTCCAGAACTGTCATGCTCGACCCCTGCCCACAGAAGCGCTTCGCCAGCTGGCTCTTGAAGATGTGGCTTGTGGTGTAGCCTGAGCTCTTCTTGGAGGCCGAGGTTGTCGGGTTAGGGTGTCTCTTTGCTCTTTCTGAAAGGTGTCTGCAGGTATGTATATACTTGTCTTCTTAACCTGCGAAACCTGCTTCTTGTGGATTCCTAATGTGAACCCTCATAGGGACCCTACACAGAAGTCGGTTCTGGTAGATGAAGGTATACACACACAAGAGTACCTCATGGGGGGCCTTAATATTTACCTACATTAAGTACTGTATTTATACTTTGATATGCCCCAAAACCCTATTCTAATTATAAAGGCCCCTACATTACTCTACAAAGTTCAAATGAAGAAGACCCTAAACCCTGCACCCTAAACTCTAAACCCTAAACCCTACACACTAAACCCTACACCCTACACCCTAAACCCTTAACCCTAAACCCTACACCCTAAACCCTAAACCCTACTCCCTAAACCCTAGACCCTACACCCTACACCCTAGACCCTAAACCCTACTCCCTAAACCCTAAACCCTACACCCTACACCCTAAATCCTACACCCTACACCCTACACTCTACTCCCTAAACCCTAAACCCTAAACCCTACACCCTACACCCTAAACCCTAAACCCTAAACCCTAAACCCTACTCCCTACACCCTACTCCCTACTCCCTACACCCTAAACCCTAAACCCTAAACCCTACTCTACCAAAAAACTCACTGAAGATGGGCCTCGAGGCTCTCCTCCGCCCGATCCGGGGCCCGTTGGATCTGCTCCTGGGTAGTTTTCTAAACTAGGGTCCCTTTCAGGGTTTAGGGTTTAGGGTTTAGGGGTTTAGGGGTTTGGGGTTTAGGGTTTAGGGTTTAGGGTTTAGGGTTTAGGGTCCATATTGTAAGGGTGCCGTACTATATTGGGGACGTTTAGGGTCCATATTATAAGGGTGCCGTACTATATTGGGGACCCAAAAAGGGACCCAAATTTAGAGAACTACCCTCAACCCTAAACCCCAAAACCTAAACCCTAAACCCTAAACCCTAAACCCCTAAACCCCTGAACCCTAAACCCTAAACCCTAAACCCCTAAACCCCAAAACCCTCCTGTGCGGCGGCCATGCAGCTGCTGAAGCTGGCCCCCACCACCTGGCTTCAGGGCGCTAGGGCTTGCGAGTTTAGGGTTTAGGGTTTAGGGTTTCGGGTTTCGGGTTTAGGGTTGAGAGTTTAGTGTTGAGGGTTTAGGGGGTTTGGGGGTTTGGGTTCAGGGTTTTCGGTTTAGGGTTTAGGGGGTTTGGGGTTTGGGTTCAGGGCTTTAGGGTTTTGGGTTTTGGGGGTCTGGGTTCAGGCTTTAGGGCTTAGGGTTTAGGGTTTAGGGGCTAGGGCTTAGAGTTTAGGGCTTAGAGTTTAGGGCTATAATTCGCTAGGATTTAGAGTTTAGGTTGTAGCTGGCCTCCACGAGGCCCAGGGGGATGCCGAGCCAGAGTGCGAAGCGGAGCATGGCCGGGAGCACATCCCCAAAGAGCCCGGCTGATCCCCCTTTGGGTTTAGGGTTGAGGGTTTA